GTTAAAGAATTGTGCTCACTATATGCCTGTAGTATCTAAGATTTTTTCATAGCATTATATGACAAATTTAAGTTCTGTTTTCTTTTATTTTTAGGTGATAGTATCTGTTCACTTGAGTGTTGGTATCAAATTTTGGACAAGGTTCAATTATTATTTCACATTCCTTTATTCAAATATCCAAATAAATGGAATATGACATCAAACTGGAGGACTAGATTCTGTTTCCAAACTTGTTTTTGTAAAAATAGAAAATAACAACTTATTATGTGTTGTTCTAATAAAAACTATTGTTTTTGATATGCATATTTAATTTTTAAAATTACAGTCATTCTTTGCTAAAATGGGTACCAGGAATACTGAAATCTTTCAGATCAGCTACCAATTCCCTTTATAACTTATGTAGCCAAGTGTTCTATCTATTTCTGTTCAGATTAAACAAATGATGGATAAAATATTAGTTTAGATTCTTTCAAAAAAAATGAGCTTGCCTATTTTGAAAGCATAAAAAGCAATAAAATAAAGCAAAAGTACTTATTTTTAATTTAAAACCTTTGGATTGCATAGCTTAATGTTTTCCACTAAATATTACAAAGTTTTCGTTCATTAAAATGTTGTTTTATCAGCTTTAAAACCAGATAAATCCACGAAGCACTCCTAATATATGTCGCCATATTGATTTTTTCGCACATGCTCCGTACAAAATGCCCAGCTGTTATGTTAGCAAAGAATGAGCAGATTTGTCAAACCATTTGTGGGGAATTTTGTAAAGAGCCTGAGGACGAGGTTATCTCATAATAAACTGATTAGCCCTATGAAAACCAATTTGAGCAAGACTTTGGCAAGTCTAGTACCCTGAGCAAGCGAAATATGTAGTGTATCATGTTCTTGGCATCACGATCAGTTGAAGCTGAAGGCTTGAATAAAATAGTCAATCCCTTATGCTTTGTTCATTATGAGTAAGGTTTAATTTAGGAAAGTCAAGTTACCCATTGCTGTTGGCATTGTGTGCACATATTTTTGCATCATTATTAACAGATAAGACTAAGTCATAGAATAAAGATCCATATAGAAGGGCCACTTACGTCGGAAGCTTTGAAGTTTCTGTCCTCGCGCATGTCGCATTACGCATGTTGGCCGCCATCTTCCTAGCCAGTCAATGACATTTTCTGGCCAATAAACACGCTGTACTGGCTGGCTGCTCCGCCTTCTGGCCAGTAAACTGCATATTTTTGCATAAAAAAACGAGGACATGTTGCACCGCTGAGTGGCCCTTCTGTTACTGATCTTTATTCTGTGACTAAGTGCTAGGCTACTCAGCCTTATTGCTTTATATTAGGAATATTATACAACCATAGCCCATTGCTTTTGTCATAGACGTTCAGACAAACTCTGCAAAGTATACAACCTTTTTTAAAGTGCTACAAAACACTACAAAACTCTGCGAAGTATACAACCTTTTTTTAAAGTGCTACAAAACGCTACAGCACTCTGCAAAGTATACAACCTTTATTAAAGTGCTATAAAACGCTACAGCACTCTGCAAATATACAACCTTTTTTTAAAGTGCTACAGAACACTATAAAACTCTGCAAAGTATACAACCTTTTTTTAAAGTGTTACAAAATTCTGCAAAGCATAAAACCTTTTTTAAAAGTGCTACGTACATAACACTACAGCACTCTGCAAAGTATCACAACCTTTTTTAAAGTGCTACATAACACTACAAAACTCTGCAAAGTATACAACCTTTTTTTAAAGCGCTACAAAACTCTGCAAAGGATACATCCTTTTTTAAAAGTGCTACATAACACTACAGCACTCTGCAAAGTATCACAACCTTTTTGTAAAGCACTACATAACACTACAAAACTCTGCGAAGCATACAACCTTTTTTAAAGTGCTACAAAACACTACAAAACTCTGCAAAGTATACAACCTTTTTTAAAGTGCTACATGACACTACAGCACTCTGCAAAGTATACAACCTTTTTTTAAAGTGCTACAAAACACTACAAAACTCTGCAAAGTATACAACCTTTTTTTAAAGCGCTACATAACACTACAAAACTCTGATAATGAAAACAACCTTTTTTAAAGTGATACAAAATACTACAGAACTCTACAAAGTATCACAACCTTTTTTAAAACGCTACAAAACACTACAGAATTCTGCAAAGTATTTTAGTAAATTGGTAAGAACAGAGATTAAGTGCCAAAGTGGTCTCTCTGAGGTTTGCTATAGCCCCAATACAGTCGCACCATTATTCAATATTTGTTTCATTAAAAATCACAACATCTCTCCAATACCATACACTAACATACTTTGTGCACAAGCACGGTCAACAAAAGACTCTGTGAGGTTTGCCATAGCCCCAATACACAGTCACATCACTATTCAATGTTTCATTATAAATCACCACATCTCTCCAATATCATCCATTTATCTCCTTAATGTAAGGCCACATTTTGTTTGTTGGGGGCAGAAGACGAGGACCAGAGGCCCGAGGAAAATTTTAAATTCTGAGTCTCTGAAATGCCATTTCCTGGACTTTGGGAAGTTTTGACAGAATGCTGATGGTCAGAAAAAAGCGTTTTAGTATGTCGAAATTTGCTTACAATTTGCTTACAATTTATAGTGAATACAATTTTATAATATTCTCTCTGTTTAACAACCAAAATTTTGTTCTATTATTGCCGTAATTTTCAAATGGCCAACCCAATTTTCTGAATATCTATGATTATATGATTATAGCAAGAAAATCGGAACATGATGTGTGGAAAATTGATGATTTAATGAAAACCATCCTTAGCAAAGTGGAAGCACGAGAAATCAGCGAACAAGTTAAAACAACAAATGAAAGAAAATCGAACTTTCCAAATAATCATAGTCCAAACCAATACCGAAGTAATAACCCAGGTACCTCATCAGCATTGTATAGTCACAAGGGAGACAATACATATAATTCAAATAAAATTTGATGTGCTTATTGTCATGATTTCCATTTCTTCACTTCATGTGAAAAGATAAAGGATCCCAAACAACGAAGGGACATTTTAAGAAAAGAAGGACGGTGTTTTGTTTGTTTACGAATCGGAGATAGAGATCAGAGTGTCAAAGAACATGTCAAAGGTGCAATGGCAAACATCATCAGTCAATTTGTATGAAATCCGCTGACAAGAATGCAAGCAACCAACAATCTCGGGAACAGGAGAATTCAAGGAAAGATCAAACTTGGGAAAGAAACAAGGACTTGCATAAGCCAAATATGACAGAGAAGGATCTGAATCAACTGAAGAAGTCAAGATGACGACCACAACTGACCAACGGAGGTCTTCAGTGTTACTTCAAATGGCAACTGCATATGCTTACAACAACGCCAATTCAAAACGAACCAAAATACAGATGCTGTTTGATTCAGGAAGTCAACGTTCCTATATAACGAATGAACTGAAAGAAAAACCGATAAAGCAAGAAACCCTGCATTTGAACACCTTTGGAGAGGAAGGATTCAAATGGCAAAAATGTGATATGTTCTCTCTGCAATTGCAGGGAGAGGACGGTGAATTAGACATTGAATTATCGGCCTTGGCATTTCCAGTCATTTGTTCCCCTGTGTCAACAAGAATTAACATTCAAGAATTTCCCCATTTAGACGGACTGCAGTTTGCTGATAAGTTGGATGGAGAAGATCACCCGATTGACATGCTCTTGGGAGCTGACTACTATTACAAGATAGTCACAGGTGAAGTTATCAAAGGCGATACTGGTCCAACAGCTGTGGGAAGTAAGCTGCGATGGCTACTTCTTGGTCCTATGTCGACAACGACATATTACACACCATGTCACACCTTGTTATCGATGGACGGAGAGAAATGTTATTCAAAGAGAAAGGAAATGACGAATTAGTTAGCAATTTAAAACGATTTTGGGATTTAGAGTCCTTAGGGATTGTGCAAATAGATGAAAGTTCAGTCTCCACTGATATTTTACAAGACATAACATTTTAATGGAAAACGCTATGAAGTGGGGTTGCCCTGAAAGAGGAGGTATTTTCCCTCTAATGATTACGAGTTATCTTACAATCGCCTTACTTCATTGGTGAATCGTTTAAAGCAAGACCCAACTTTACTCAAGGAGTATAATGCTATTATTGAGGAACAAATTGAGCAAGGTATCGTGGAAAGAGTTCCTGTCGAAAAAGAAGACAATTCTGCAACGCATTATATACCTCACCATGGGGTTATTCGAAATGATCGAGATACAACAAAGCTTTGTATAGTTTTTGATGGCAGTGCCAAAGAAAGGAATAACAAACAGTCCTTGAATTATCATTTGTTGAACGGACCAAATTTCATACCGCCAATATTCGACGTCCTTGTTAAATTCAGATCACACGCCATGGGACTAACTGCTGATATCGAAAAAGCGTTTCTCCAAATTGTGATCAAGGAATCAGATCGAGACAAGCTTTGGTTCTTGTGGATTAAATATATTAAATCGAACGAGTTAAAGGTGCAACAATTACTATTTTGCCGCCTTGTTTTTGGTCTCAAACCAAGTCCATCAATCTTAGGTGGTACAGTTCTACATCATATATCCAAGTACCAAGAAACTGAGCCTGAAAGTTTTAAAGGACCTGTACGTCGACGACCTTCCAACTGGTTCACCAGATGATGCGACTGCTTTCGAAATTTACCAGAAATCAAAACAAATAATGAAAGAAGGGGGATTCAATTTGTGAAAATGGAAATCTAGCTCTAAGAAACTGTCTGAAAGAATAAATGAATGTGAAAGGGTCAACGAGTTAACAACTGAAGCGAGGGAATGTTTGAGTCCAACAGAAAATGTTAGTGTGTCCCAAGACAACCAAACATATGTGAAATCGACGATTGGCCCACAACTTCCTGACGATAGCAAGGCAAAGATTCTCAGAGTAAACTGGAATGTAGAAACCGACAGTCTGTATTACGAATTTAATGAAATTCAACGTTATGCTCGCACTTTACCTCCAACGAAACAAACTGTTTTAAAGCTAGTTGCCAAGATATTCGATCCGCTGGGACTTTTAAGTGCATTCACTATTAAATTAAAGATGATGTTCCAGACTATGTGCAAGGATAAGACAGATTGGGATGAAGAATTATGTGGCGAGATGCATGTATTTTACGATGAACTTGTGAATGAATTAACCCATCTTAGTGGTGTTTCTCTTCCAAGATGCTATTTTGCTCGAAGTTCCAATATCAGAGATTATCAATTGCATGGATTTTCAGATGCAAGTGAGAAAAGCTTACGCCACTGTTGTGTATTTACGAACGAAGTACGATGATGAACACGTAGATGTAAACTTAGTCGCCTCAAAGAGCAGACATCAAACAACAAACAATACCTCGCCTAGAACTTTTGGGGGCTACAATTTTAGCTTGCCTCTTGAAAACATTTCATCCTCTCTCGTGCCTACTTTAGGTAAACTAGAGAAATGCTATTGGGTTGACTCCTCTGCAGTTCTTTGTTGGATAAAGAACAATAAACCCTGGAAACAATTCGTACAACACCGAGTGCAAGAGATTAGAAGGTCTTCGTCTATAGTCGGCCGGCCAAGGTGGCAAAAAGTGCCTCTAAAGAGAGTTTGATGGCAACTTTTGTTAGAAGCTGGTAACAGGCATTTTCTTATAGTTGAAGCCTTGGTGAATAAGACTGTGTGTGTTACCACTTCTGATTTTTGCTTTATAGCCAAAAATTTGAGAATTTTAAAATTTTGCCTATTAAATTACTATGATCGGAAAAAATGTAAAATTTCGTGTTCTCTTATACGAAAAATAAACTAAACCACTAAGAAAGAGCGTAAAAAACTATATATAAGACAACTTAAGCGACTAGTGCGATTTTCAAGCCGATTTTGAATTAAAGACGGTTAAAGTTGGCAAAATGGTTACTAATTATCATTAATTTGGTCATTTCTGCATTTTTTAACATTAAAAACTCGAAATAGGATTGGAAAAACGTAGAACTCACTTAATTGTCTTATATACAGTTTTTTACGCTCTTTCTAGTGGTATAGTTTATTTTTCGTATAAGAGAACATGAAATTTTACATTTTTTCCGATCATAGTAATTTAATAGGCAAAATTTAAAAATTCTCAAATTTTTGGCTATAAAGCAAAAATCAGAAGTGGTAACACATACAGTCTTGTTCACCAAGGCTTAAACTATAAGAAAATGCCTGTTACCAGCTTCTAACATAAAGTTGCCATCAAGTTGTACAAATTGATGACTTGGCCGGCCGTCTACTAAAGACACCTGGTGATTTTGTCCTGGGTAAAAGAATCTGGCTGATTTGCCATCTCAAGGGATTACAGATTACTGGTGGAAGGGGCCTGAATTTCTGCAACGTCCTGAAGAAAAATGGCCAAATGACTTGGCTTGTGAGAGCACAGATCCAATTGCAATCGCAGAAGTTACAAAACACAAAACTGCTGTTATTCATAGTTTAGCCAACCAAGCGAAGCAGTTAAATTCAGACATCAGTATTGTTATTGACTGTCAGTGCTTCAGTACTAAAAAGAGATTATTGAGAACAACTGCCTATGTATTACGATTCGTTAAGTTTTTACGCAGAGAAAATTCAAAGAGAAAAGGTTATGGAAAGAGAAAACGCAGAGACAGCTGAAAAGGATAGAACGTCCGAACTGTCAATTCTCGAACTGAGACAAGCAGAAGAATTATGGATTCAAGCAGTTCAAACAAATTCATTTGTGGAAGAACTTAAGTTTTTATCAAGTAACAAAGTTTCGACACCTCTGACTTACGTTTCACAGTTTGGATTATATGTTGATGAGCAATCGTTGATTAGATGTGCTGGACGAATAAAGAATGCCCATCTCCCAAATTCGAGCAAATGTCCGGTTTTGCTGCCGAAGAACCACCAATTTAGTCATACAAGAAGTCCATCATCGAACAAGTCACAACGGTATAAATCAAACTCTTTCGTTATTGTGTGAGCAATTTTGGATCATTTGGGGACGGGAGATCGTCAAGAAGAACGTTTGAAGATGTGTAGTCTGTAAAAGAAACGAAGGTCGACCTTATAACCCTCAAGTACGACCAGATTTGCTGAGTTGTAGAGTTGATGAAGCAATGCCATTTACGCACACTGGTCTAGACTTCTTAGGGCCTCTGTATGTCACAAAGAAGAGTGATGCACAAGATGCAATTTCATCTGAAAAGACGTACATTTGTTTATATACTTGTGCCTCTACAAGAGCAATTCATCTTGAACTTACACCCAACCTTACCGTGCCATCGTTCTTGAGAAGCTTTCGAATATTTGTCAGTCGATTCGGATTACCTGCAACCTTAATATCAGATAACGCCAAAACGTTCACATCTGCGTCACATGAAGTAAAGAACATTAGATCGGTCGAAGTTCAACATCATCTTACAAATCAAGGAGTTAACTGGCAATTTATCGTTGAACGTGCCCCTTGGTGGGGTGGGTTTTGGGAACGTATGGTACGAACTGTAAAGGGAGTTCTCAAAAAGGTCATTGGCCGTTCGAGCCTTAATTATGATGAACTGTATACCATTCTTACTGAAGTCGAATCTATCATGAATGATCGCCCGATAACGTACATATATGACGATGTGGAGTCAATATCATATGCATTGTCACCATCCCAGTTAGTTTATGGTCGAAGACTCACGAGCACACCAAAACACACTACTCTGCCGTGCAGAGAAGCAGCGAGAGAAGTGCCAATCACGACCGCGCAGAGAAGCAGCGAGAGCTAGCGAAACGAGAAGAAAGGAATTAGTAAAAAGTAAACTTCTTTAAGGTTGTTAACAAACAAAAAACAAACTCAAATTGATTACTTGGGTAATCAATCCGGGGGACTGTTATAGAGTTAGGTTAATTATATATATGCAGAATATTATATTAGGTTGCATGCTGTTGTTATTGGTTCAATTTAGTTGGGAAAAATCATGTGACGAACACGAGTGTTGTTATCAAAAAAGGTCGAACTAACGAATACGATTATACAGTCAAATATCAAAGTATCCTCAAGCGTTGTAAATATGTAAATAAGTTCAAATTAAAGTATCAAAGTTCATTACAATAGATGCAGTAGTAGTTGGGCTTCTTGACCAAGTTAAGGAAATCGAATTTTGGCATTATGCATCATTATTTTTCACCCTGCTCGGTTTCCTTTGTTCTTGTTGGGGAATATATTCAATATTCACCTGCAATTAATAATCCCCTCTAATATTCACCTGCATGTCTTTGCAGCACAAAAAAAACGAGAAGAAACAACATCGCGAAGGCAATATGGCATTAAGAATTTTTTCTGACTCATTAACGCGACCTCGCAGTGTGAAAATAAGTACGTTATTTTGAGGCACCTCGGGGATATGTGTTTATTCACCTCGGTGAATAAATCACATATCCCCTTGTTGCCTCAAAATAACCTATACATAATATAGCCTTAGAAAATTTGACAAGAAACCCTGTTCCGTTGTAGAGCTTCTAACAATGCAGTTGTTTGAAAAATTCATTTATTTGTGGCAAAAGCCAAACCAACAACATATTTTCAATGACCATTTTTAATGACCATGAGACCTGCCAAAACAATATATTTTGTGACTTTGCACTTTACAGTAAAACGTTTGACAAATTTCTATGTTCTTTAAAATAACTGCAATAATCAGTGGTGCAACACCACACATCTTGTTAATGTTCGGATTGAATCCAATTAAAAAAAGGCACTCACCACGATCAATGTTATCTACTGCAAGGTGTAAAAGTGAACAACTAAGGTGGTCCCTTGCATTAATAATGTTGTCATGTGCAGAAAGCTCTTTAATTAGTGTTTCCAATTTTGAATGTTCAGGTTTACCAAGGTGGAAAGATTATCAAACTCATAGGGAGTATTTATCAGTCACACTCAATTCTATCTGTTGGCAGAGACAGTTCTCTTTCATAAATGGAGTCAATGGCATTTGTGAGTGTGGAGACGATTTCAGGTCCTACAAGTGCTTTCAAATACACCTTCATTTTGAACTAACTGCTCTAACGGTGATTTTATCAGATTTTTGCACTGATTCATCTTCTGCTGAAGAGTACAAATTGGGGAATAATAAAACTACAACAAGAACTTCATGTTCACTAATCTAAGGCCAAAAGCATAATGGATGAAATCATGGATAAACTTGATGAATATCTGTGTGATCATCCAAACCAGATGTTCATTATTAACATACTTGATACCTATGCCAGAACTCTTTGGTGTTGGTGAGAGAAGAAATCAGAGGGCGGTACAGACAAAAACCCTTAAAGGGCAGAATAAAACCAAACAAACTCTTTGTACATGGGTTTTTAAGTATATAGAAGTCACTCGACCTATTAAATACAGAACGTTTTACCTGCACCAACAGGCTTAAGTGCAAAAATATTGCTGCAGGTATGACAGAGCTAACAAAACTTGGCATGCCTGGTGGAAAAAACACGAACATCATTCAGTTGGGTTTGTTCTGTGAAATAATCATTAAATATCTGTGCCTTTTCTAAAACAAATGAAAACGTTGTGCATTTTAAAGTTAACATTTTTAAATCTTACATTTTCGCTTTAGAAAATGAAAGACTGTAGAATAAAGACAAATATACTAAAAGAATCGCCATCTTGCATTCTATAGCTCGGAAGTCTCGGGAAATTGCAAAATAATCTATGCCTATTATGGCATTCTCGTGGTAGGAAAGTGTTCAGCCAACTTCGGATGCCAAATTCCTGGTAAGCATTGCAGTTTCTTGGTAAAAGGCTGCGGAAATCACTTCCAGAGTGTTTGTTTACCCTAGATACGGATTTTGATTGGCTTAGGCAGAAAAACAACCTCCCATGGCAATTTTCCTGATCTCAAATGTTGTGCAAAGGCATTGTAAATTTATTGTTGCATTGTAAGAATGGCAACTCTCAATTGTCAAGACGTTTTCTTGACTTTATTTTGCAAACTGACAGTACTAGTGAAAATGAATGTCTTTGGATGAGGAAAAGTATCTTAACCTCCATTGGGAGTTGTGTCTGGAGTTTCAAGGCAAGTATTTTGATCATTTTTAGACACTCTGTTTCAATGTCTTGCCGTTGCCATGACATTGTAAATAATTTGCATCAGTGGTGGATCCAACAAAGTTTTTGGGTTAAAATTTGGGTCTCTGAAATGGCATTTCCAGCATTATGAGAAAACATTCTGCAAGATTTTTAGATTCTCAAAACATTTAAAGAGGCTGTCAAGTCTGTTCTGCTCATAATTTAATTATAATTCTTGTTGTAAATGAATATCAAGTGTTAAATATTTTATATAACTTAGACATTTCTAAAGCATGCGGTTTTGACAATATTAGCAACAAAGCACTCAAGTCTTGTGCTGGTGGTATTTTTAAATCTCTTACTTTGCTTTTAAATTTATCACTTTTGTTAGGTCAATATCCCAGTTGTGGGAATTTTGCAAATGTTATACCCATTTTTAAAAAAGAGTATCGGCAAATGAAAACGAATTATCGTCCAGTTTCCTTGTTAGTTAGTCTATCCAAATTATGTGAAAAAGTTGTCTTTTTGGACGTGTATAATTTTCTTAATAATACGTTTTTTTTCTATTGTTTTCAGTCAGGTTTTCGACCAGGTGATTCCACAGTTATGCAATTAATTTTTGTTGTAAATAAAATTTATCAAGCATTAGAGAAAGGTAATGAAATACGTGCAGTATTTCTTGATATTTCTAAGGCATTTGATAAGGTTTGGCACAAAGGTTTATTAGCCAAACTTAAAAGTATTGGCATAAACGGCCCCTTACTTCAATGGTTTGAAAGTTATTTGACTGAAAGATATCAACGAGTAACCATTGAGGGAATGAGCTCTGACTGGGCACATATTGAAGCCGGTGTACCCCAAGGATCTGTTCTTGGACCATTGTTATTTCTGATTTATATTAACGACATAGCTGATGTTTCTTCCACTTGTTTTCTTTTCGCTGATGATTCCTTACTATTAGATGAAGTCATATCGCCGATTGACACAGCTAACAGGCTAAATAACGATCTTGATTCTACATCAATGTGGGCTGATCGATGGCTTGTGACCATGAACGCTAATAAGACAAAAAACATGATATTTTCTTCCAAGTTAAACAAGCCCTTGCATCCTACGCTTACTTTGGCCCACGAACCAATTGATATAGTTGATCAGCATGATCACCTGGGCGTTACCCTTACTAATAAATTATCGTGGCGGCCTCATATTCTTAAAATCCATCAAAAGGCTTCAAAAAAACTTAACTTACTTAAACCAATGAAATTTAAGCTAGGAAAAAAACCCCTTGAAATTCTATATAAATCCGTTGTCCGTTCTTGCTTGGAATATGCGGATGTTGTGTGGGATGGGTGTTGTGATGCTGATCGTGACCTTCTTGAAAGCTTGCAATTTGAGGCAGCCAGGCTCATAACGGGGGCATTGAAAGGTACTCATAGGGAAAGCCTTCTTAATGAAACAGGTTGGTTTACTTTAAAAGCCAGACGTAATGCTCATAAGTTATTTATGATGTACAAAATTGTAAATAATCTGACCCCTCCGTATCTGTCAGAATTGCGTCCTGATAATGTTAGTTCTAGATCAAATCGTAGTTTACGTGCCAATGATAATCTGATTGTCCCTTTCGCTAGAACCAAACGTTACAAAAAGTCATTTTATATTTCCTCTGTGAATCTTTGGAATAGTCTTTCAGCGACTATTTGTTCTAGTCGTTCAATTGCCATTTTTAAAAACAGTGTGACTCGGCTACACAAGTTCGTAGCTCCCAATCCGCTATATTATATAGGTGATCGTTTACCAGCTATTTTGCATACTCGTTTGAGATTATCTAATAGTACATTAAATTACGATTTATATTTAAAAAATTGTGTTTCTTCCTCTTTTTGTGCATGTCGTTTTCCAAAAGAAACTACAGCTCATTTCTTTTTCGACTGTGACCGATATGCTGCTATTCGGAATACTTTGCTCACCTCTGCTGCTTCTTTACTCGGTGCAGCGTGGTCAGGTGCTGGTAAGGGTACACATCTTAAGTGGTTACTTTGTGGTGTCGGGAATGTTTCTATTGATACGAATATTAATTTATTCTTAAGTGTCCAAAAATTCATTATTGATTCAGGTCGTTTCACCCGTAGCAGCCCTTGACCACGTTGCCCAGCGTGTATATGTTAATTGTGTGTTTGTCCAAAATTTGTGCTTGCTCTATCAGCTGTTTTTTGGGGTTTTTTTTTGTAAATATGTAATGTCAAGAGTGCCCCAGATAAGCCTTTAGTGGCTTTTGGTGCAATTGCCAATTTTTTGAATTTTAATAAAATATTGTTTATATGAAAAACATTACATTATTTACAACACATTTTATCCACAAGACTGGACAACGGACAACACGAGTGACACTTGACACATATACTTTTAAATGTTTGTGGAGCATTAATGTTATATATTTCTTTAGTCATTGCTTCATAATAAGTTAACAGGTAAGATTTCAATTGGCCGACAGTAACGCTTGCTTCTCAATATGTGGTGGTAGGGAGTCATATATTCTGGGAGCTCTATTATAAACTGTTCTGAAAAGTTAAAGTGTTAACTCTGGAAAGTTTTAATATTACACTATTAGTTGTAGCGCACCTGGTGATACGATCGTTTGATACTATACTAATCTGAGAGTCATTCAATGTAATTGCCTTAAAGAGATACACCAAGTCCAGGTACTCATGCCAGTAAGACAGAGGAAGTAAACCAGTTTTCAATAGTCTCTCCTGGTAACTAGTTTCAGATCTAAACGGCAGCGATAAGATGAATCTTGTTGCACGTCTTTCTATTGATACGAAGACCAGACTTGGGAGCTGTACACGGAACGACTTCGCACTAACATTTTATAAAGTGTGGTACGCGTACGAGGATCATGCATCTTAATGGAGGACCTTTTTACGAACCCAAGCATTCTGTTTGCTTTCGCACATACAGCAGAGACTTGTTGGTTCCATTTGAGATCTGCAGTGATGAGAACGCCAAGATCTTTTTGAACAAGCCTTTTACAGATGGCCGTTGAGTTGGCTGAGTTATCGTTGTTGAGATGGTAAGATGACTGCATGGGTTTGAGATTCCTTGTTACCTTAAGAACTCCACACTTAGTTTTGTTAAGGTTCATGCTCCACGTCCGACACCATTGGCTGATTCCATCCAGATCACATTGGAGAGCTTTTACATCATCTGTTGTTCCTATGGCATGATAACACTTTGTATCATCAGCAAACAGAGCAACAGACGATGTGGTGGACTTTTTGGGCAGATCATTCACGTATACAAGAAACAATAAATGGCCAAGGATTGAACCCTGAGGAACACCTGATAGAACGGGTATTGATCGGGTTTTTTTTTCCTAAAATGGTAACTTTTTGATGGCGATCTGATAGATAGTTATGAAACCAGCTCAGCAAGTTTACGCAAACTCCAAAATTACTAAGTTTCTTGAGAAGCAGCTGATGATCGACCCTGTCAAACGCTTTAGCGAAATCGAGATAAAGGACATCAGTTTGGATTCTCTTGTCGAGTGACTCACCAAACTCGTGTAGAACCTTTAGTAATTGTGATGTTGTAGACTTCCCCCTGCGAAATCCATATTGGAGGTTATGCAGTTCACTTGAGACATGGTTGATCAATTGGTCGTATATGCAATGCTCGAGCACCTTTGATACAACTGGAAGTAAAGATATGGGTCGATAATTTGAAATTTCGTTCTTTTGACCACCTTTAGGAATGGGTATTATATTAGAAACTTTCCATTCCACTGGTACACTACCGGAAGTTAAGCTTCTATTGAAGAGATCAGCAAGGGATGAGGAAATGTATGGAGCACAACATCTAAGCAACTTTGCCGGAATTTTGTCTGGACCAGTAGCTTTGTTGTCATCAAGAGAGAGAAGAGCATGTTGAACGTCATCAGGTGAGATGTTGATATCGCTTATGGGGTCACAGAAGGTGGTGGTGGACGCTGGATGGGCATCATAATCTTCTTGGGAAAGAGGTGTATTAAACATAGAAAAGAAGAAGTTGTTTAAGAGATTTGCAACGTCTTCAGGATTTTCAGCTATGACAGTTACTTCATCATGCTTCCAACTCATTTTGTTTGTTATACTAAATGAATTTGATGTAAATTTGAACAACGACCAGAATCGTTTTGTGTTTGATTTCATAAGAACAGACAAAGACTGAAAGAACTCTTTTTACTTACAAGATATCAGCGACTTACAGGAACGGCGAAGGTTTCTGAAATTTTCCCAGAGATTGTTACTGCAGCAGCTCTTTTTGGCTTTTCTTCTAGCCATTTCCTTTTTGTGTAATAGGTGATGCATTTCACTGTCTAGCCAAGGGGGAGATGTTCGTTTTTTAATAATTTTAGTCGGGATATGATGATGTCGGGATATGACCACGAAACGATCACACCACCATTCCCAGTCCTTGTTGATATCATCAGGATTACTATTTGTGCTCATGTTATTGATTTGATTTAAGGCTATTGATGGCGACAGGTTTATTGTTAAAAGAGTTATGTATAAACCCAGCTAGTCTGCTAAGTGGTAATCTAGGACAGATCGTTTGTCACTGGAAGATAACTTGGCAAACAGGTTGAAATCAAAGAACAGAAGATTATGATTGCTGAAGAGGTCCATTGATTGTGGTGATATGCATGATACATCAATAACACACTCAGGAGTGTTGGTCAGGATTAGATCAAGGATGTTGTTCAGCCTCGTCGGATGCGGGTTAACTTGTTCAAGAAAAAAGTCGTGTACAAGATCTCGAAATTCAATGGAGCTGGGAGGGGCATTCTGGGAAGTAAGGTCAGAGTTCCAAGTCAATTCAGGAAAATTAAAGTCTCCAGTTATGAAAACTTTTTCATATTTTTCAGCCACTTGAAGGAACAACGTAAAATAACTAAGCCATTCATTAAGATCACTGTTCGGTGGTCTGTAGCAAACACACAGCAGGCATTTATTTGGTGTATGAGATTCAATTTCTATGGAGAGAATTTCTAAATGGTCAGACCAAGATCCCAAGTTAACTCTGTTATATTGAATTCCTTCATGCAATGCTAGCAAAACACCTCCTCCATGTTTGCTGAATGGCCGATCTTTTCTGATGATGTTGTAACCAGAAGGCAATATTTCATTGTTACTGACATTATCATTGAGCCATGTTTCAGTGACCGATATGACCATAGATATCTTATATAAACTAGATAGCGCATCTCTTTTAGTAAAATTGAAGCCAAGAATATCCCAGCGGTTACCCCCATTTGAATAGATGGCGGCCATATTGGAGCTTCCCACTCGCTAATAAACGCTTAAAAAATAACAATAACTTTCATCATTTGAATAGTTTGAAAATGTATTTATAATAGGATTAACTTAATGTTTAAGTTCCCTGTTTAAGAAATAGGATACATACGAATCTTCTCATTTCATGGGAAGATCCTGAGCCTGCAATTACGGCTTCAATTTTTGAATTACAGAATAATTAGATGCGCTATCTAGTGTATATAAGATATCTATGGATATGACATCCAAATTTTCAGTGTAAACAAGGTCTTGAAACAATTTTAAGTTGCTTGTGAATGTTCCATCCTGTCGCTTGGTGACGCTTTGGAGGCTTTGAGCGTTGAATGATAGGCAACATCGAGTTTTAGACATAGCCACAGGGCCTTGATTAGTAGCAATATCGCCAGCAAGTAAGATACAGAGGAAGACGTGTAATGGCTTTTGCTTAATCTGTAATTGAAGACTATAACAAAGGTTGATATACATGGTTGATCTTCTCAACATGTTATCACGAGTAGAAGTCCACAAAAAAAAAATTATCTGGTAGTGTTGTTAGTTCAGAGGAAATCAAAACATTTTCAGGAGCAGATTTGGTGTTGAGATAACTAATTTCAGGTTTTGATCTCATTGATAGCCAGAGAGTTAGGAGAAGAGCACACCAGCTGCAACATTTAATGGCTTTTGATACGTTTTAGAATTCATTTTGCTAATTGATGATCCGGTATAAATATGCATGCGAGATTGTTATGCAATGTGAATTAAGAGTTTGTATTAAGCAAGGTTCACAATCGAATATATTAGTCGACAATGTCATATAGCATTGTGCAAGATTTAAAATGAGACAAAATATGACCTTGACAGGACAGAACACCAGATTAGTTACCGAGATGCAGTTGATGTAAATGATGGGAAATCCCTGAATTTGAGACCAAGATATGGTATGATTATATATGCACGCCACGTAGCAACCGCAAGACTTTAAATGAACCGCAGTTATAGCGCCAATAAAAACAAAACGTAAATGCAAATGTTGCTGTTAATGAGAGGTAAACACAAAACCAAAATATATAGTTCACTTTAAAGGCCCAAAACCAAGTGACAACGCCATAAAGTTGTTGCTATGGAAGGCAATGCCAGACAAGATTTTAATTTAAAGTTCCAACGGTCAAAATATCAAAAGTACAATAAATCACGAACAGTACATCCAAATGATATAAAATTTACTCATCGGAACAGGAACACAATTTATAGTTCACTCAGAAAGTTTCAAGCGAATAGCAGCAAAACGACGGATATATTTTATACAATAACCCAAATTCCTGGTTTGTGATGAACGACACAGCAATTTGATACAAAATCACCACAAAATAATCCATCACAACTCCTTTCAATGGATTCACACCAATTTAAAAATACAACAACCAGACGAACCAAATCTTTAGCTTTAATGAGATGTATAGATCATCAACGTAAATTGAGTAAATACTTATTTATGGCCGGAATAAAACAGAGGTCATTCGACCGTAAACCTATTTAACCTTATCCTTATCTTAAGTTGATTCGGGGTTGAAAATTGCAGGAAACGATGAGAGGAAAACAAAGGATAAACTGTCTTCCAAGATATATCTTCCAGAAGTTTATAGTATATCTTCCAGAAGTATATCTTCCAGAAGTTTAGAAGAGTTTAGAAAAAAACCCAAGTGCGAGATGAATACCGGAGAAATGAATGAAAAGCATGTCTGTTTACAATGCCTAGAGCTCAGTCTTCAAGGAAAGCAGTTTAAGTGAAGGAGCATTATTGAAGCAGTGTTTAGACGCCATTTCTGCTTTAAGCATAAAAGTCGACAACATCTCCAGCCAGACAGCAACACTTAAACATTTAGCTTGTGAAAACACAGAAACAAGAGACCCCATCATCGAAATGAAAGAAAGTGATAATATTATTTAAATGAATGATGCCACGCCTCTCCTCAAGTGGTTCTATGATGAAGATACAGAATGTGGTGTATTGCGATGTGCACCTTGTTATGAGCTTCATGTGGCCGCTAAACCTACTCTTCGATCTTTAACACCATTTAGAGCCAATCAGTTGCTAAATCCAAGAGGCAATGGAACACTTTCCACAGGAATTTTTTTAACAAAGAAACAACAAGTTTGGTATCATCATAAGAGGCGTTGCATTTATCATCTGTGTCTGGTAGGAAGTGAATCGTCTAAGCACCACAAAGCAATGGACGAATATATGAAGAAAAAAGAATTGAAACACGAGACAACGGCCTACAGAAATCTCTTCTATGCAGCAATTGCAGACCTCAAGCTTGGTGCTGCCGTAAAGCATTTGGAGATTCTTCTCTCTCTTTTGGCTTGCTGCTCTGTAGATATTGGGAAAATGGGGCATGGTCGCAACAATTGCAATGACATTATTTATTGTCTTGAAAAAGTTATAGATGGAAAAATCAAATCTTGGCTATCTACTCCTTGCCCTTCCACTTTGCTTCCTCTCCATTATTGGGTGACTGCAAACAAAGCAACGCCATCTCGTACAACAAATCAAGCTGTTCTCATTGTGGCAAGAAGCAAAGATGGCAAGCCTTGTCCTATTGCCTGTTGAAGCTCCAGCAGTATACACAGAATTTGTGCTTGCAAAGCAGATTTTAAATGGAATATCCGATCACTTTGGTGTGCATGCTCATTCGCAGCTGTGTGGCGCCCATATCAAGCACATGGCTTTAAGGAATATCTTCGTCAAGCTCTTGGTTTAAACGATGATGATGATATCGTGTTACCAAAACCTAAATTGTGGTACCCTCGTGGGTACCACACCAGAGCGCTCAAAATGCAAGCAGAGTGAGCGTGCGCAATGCGTAAACAGCATGGCTTATCTTGTAGAGCACTCAATATGACCTAAAGGTCATAGAGCGATATCTAACTACAGACGGTACCATTTCGGCCTTATGGGCCTCATCAGTGTGATGCTGATGAGCAGGCTGAAAGTAACTGCTATTTACAGTTACCTTTGATGTCTCACGAATGTGGGACATCAAAACCATCCAGAGTGCTAAAACTGCAAGCAGTGAGCGTGCGCAATGCGCAATGGACCATGTTCATGAGGCTATTGAAACAAGTAAAGAACTTCATGGCATATCACCACGACAAGTATATGATAAGGTTAAAATGATCACGAACAAAGGATCATCAGTTTCCGAACCTGTGCCTGAGCTCCCCCAGGTTTGTGATTCATTGGAAGACAAACTTTCACGCTTTGGTCATAGTGATACAAACACTGACAAACCTGATGAAGAACAGTCTACTAGTATATTGGCCCCAAGTGAAACAAACAGCAGCTTTACAAACGTTGAAATGAAGTATGTACATGAACTTTTTCATAACATGATTGTGGAAAATAAAAAAATTGTCACATCGAAATTCTAAAGAGATGCACAACAGATAAAGGGCAAAAGCTCTTAAATAAACTTTCCGTATATCAAATCCTTAATCGCATCAAATACGAAAGACGAAAGCATAGACTTGCATAGTAATTACAAACAGAACATTGTTTGACTTTGCGTATAAAAGACATTTACCTATCATATGACTCATAATAACTCATAATGGTATTTGTTCTGTTGTATCTTAGCAGTATTGAATACGGTTCTCTTTTGTTCATTCAAGAAAAAAGTAATAGCGGAACTTAAGCATGTGTCACGAAGCACTACTCGACTAAGATAATACCAAAACTCTTTAATTATTTATTTAATTACAATACTCAACAACGATTAATCTCCATGAAATACATCTCACGATTTCACCTTAACTCTACAATATCTCACTTCCATGCAGTTCTCTCTCCTCTAAAAACACATACACTAAAAGGCGCTAAGATACATACACTAAAAGGCGCTTAAACACATACACTAAAAGGCACTTCTCTAAACTCCCCCCACCTAAAATCAACTTGATTACTGACTATATCAGTTCACTGGTTAACTCAACACAAAAGTAGGTATAAAATAGTTCAAATCGACAAAGTTCATGCAACACTTCCATTACTATAATAGTGTTTAACTTATCTGTTCACAGTGTTCAATAATCCAACACAGATACTCCATAACGATCGGGTTGTCTTTGATTCTGTCTTAAGTTATAATGTAAATTTAATGGTTCTGCTTGATCATCGATTCCATGTGGTGCTAAACGTACTCCAGCACGCTCATTAATAAGTTCAATCGTAGACTCATCCGAATCAGAACTTAGCATGTCTTCCGATTCCTCACCCAATGGATTAGCAACTGTTTCTACGACAAACCGTCTTAGATTATTCGCATGTACAACTTTACGCTTTCTGCTTTCCAATGACTCTATCTCGCAATCGTTCTCTCGAATGTTAATAATGATGTAAGGACCCGTACACTTTTCATCTAAACCTCGCGCTCGAAACTTTAATAGAACAGTGTCCCCCATGTAAAACCGCTTGTTTTGTTGTGCTCGATACCGTAAATCATAACTACGTTTCTGCTTCTCTTGCGCTTTCTCGA